CTAGACTAAAGAAATCTGCTTTCCTCAGCCTCACTGGCTGTTCTGGAGCAGCACCTTAACCATAATGGTCATCCTTCACTGAACTCCTAGTTTGTTCATGCTTCTGCCGGATTGGGCTCTAGGTGGGACACAGTACTTCAGATGCAGGTTCACAAGAGCAGAATAAAGGGGAACATCCATCTCCCTCCGCTTCCTACTGCGTTTTCCCTAATGTAGTTTAGTGTAGAGCCTGGTCCTGCAAGGCAAACAGCTGACTCACGTTCAACCTGCTGTCTAACCAGATGCCAAGGCTTTTTCTGCAAAACTTCAGCTTAGTCCATGTATCCCCAGTGTCAATCAATGGATAGGGTTATCCATATCAGGTGTAAGAATTTCCATTTGTAATCACTGAACCTCATGGTGTTCTTGACAGCACGTTTCTCCAGAGTGCTGAGACCCTTCTGAAAGGCATTCCTGAAGCATATGGATGGATTGTGTGGACTGTTAACAAAAATATTTAGCAGTATTGACTCCAACATTACCCCCGGGGAGCCCAGATAGTAAGCAACCACCAGTTGTACTTGGAATTGCTGCCTATTTTGCTCAAGTCTCTTGGATACTCCAGATATCCACTGATTTTGTAAACCATTATATCTCAGTAGTTTGACTGCAAGTATTCTATGGATCACTGTCAAAAAACAGCAAATACCTCTGCTGCTTTTGCCTCATCTACCAAGATAGTTGTCTTATCATAGCAGACTCTCAGGATGATCCATGGCAATTTGCCCTCAGTAAATCTATTCTGAATGTTCCCAGTCACCCTCTTGTCTCATCTGCCTGGGTATTACTTCCAAGGAGGATTTACCCCTTAATTTTACTGTGGGCTGAGGTTAGGCTGACTAGTCTGCACCTGCCCAAATCCTCCTCACCTTACTTGTGGATGGCCTTGACATGTGGTATAGGAATACTATAACAAGGTGGCTACCACCTCTTACACCTCAGATCTGCTCTTTGACTGATGCGTGAAAAAAAGCGTAAAACGTTCAGATACGGCAGTGTTAGGCCCATGTTTGAATTTGAAACAGATGAAGTGTTAAAAGCAACCCTAACACACCTTCTTCTTAAAATTAATTTAACCAGAAGCACAGGTTTTCTCCTCAGTCTATAGGGCCTGTCTTTTTCTGAATAAAGCATGGTATTAGCTGCAGTCTGTGATTTTACCTCTGATTAAGATCAACATTTCAAGATAAACACATGCCATAGAGCTATGTGAAATGAGGTTGGTTTTAAGCATAGGATTTAAGGGGAAGGAGGGGCAAACACTGGACCCCAAGTATCCATCCAGCTTGGTGCTCCAATGCATCTCTTTATGTCTGCTTTACCTTTAAGTTAAATCTCTGATGCAGACATTCTGTAATAATACTTGGAAGTTATTTGCATCCAGTCTAAAGAACCTTTTAGTTCTAGTTTTAAATTAAGGACTCCAGTGGTTTCAGTCCTTGATAAGTAAAGCAGCTGGATTTCACACCATTCACACTGAGGCTCGGTTACATTTTAGTCACAGCAGTGAAGTGATGCATGAAACTGACTGTACTGTAAAATCTCATTGTTATATGGATGAGGAAATGGACTGGCTCCAGACAGGGAAAAATGCATATTGAAGCTTTCAGCAGAGAGAGTTGTTCAGAATAAAATGTATTCTTTTGTTAGGGGGCAATAAAGTGTTATCTAAAGCTAATTAGGCAATGGAAATTGTTCTGGTGTGTTAGTATGATGCAACCAGAGTACAGTATACGTTGTTCACAGAGTATGCATGCTCACCTTATCCCACGAAGCACTGGAGTTCTGTAGAGCAGAGTAATAAAGCATGTAGGTATAGGTGTTTACCTCCAAATGAATTTTAATAGAGAATGACTTGTATATGTCCTAAGGTGTTTATTTAGGTTTTTCTTCTCTGCTTGGAGTTATTTATTTTCATGTTTTCAACATCACTAAAATAAGATCTTTCTGCTATTGTATTTGTCCATTTTAAGCTGGACTCTGATACCTAAAATACAGCAAAGTGCAGAGAATTCACATTTTAACTGATAACTCAGGGATTTGGTGGTCCCAAAAACTGATAATAATCAGGATCAGAATACCCTGAATAGATAATAAAAGGAGAATTCATGCAATTTTGCATTGGAAATTTTCCCATAAGTTTTTCAAAAACAGAAAAAATACACTGAATAAAATGCATATTGCTACTGCTTGATTTCAGAGTACCTGAAGAGTGTACACAGAGAAAGTTTTGAGCCCTCATTGAAAGCTGCTTATTCCTTTCTACTGCATAGAGAAAGAAAATTATGCTAATTATTGGCTCCTATGCTTCGAGCAAATCAACAGCTCCCCACAGTCCTGAGTCAGCTACAGCCTAAGAGACGCTGCAAAGACTTCTGAAAGTCATCAAAATAGGCATTTGAAGGCAGTGAGCAAAGCCTTCCTTCCAGTGAAAGCCCTTTGCCAGGTTAACCCTTGCCATTTAAATTGAGCAGTTAAGTATTAAGGCTAGAAGTGTAACACAGTGATGGATATAGTATGCTCGCTGTAGGAAAGCCCCCCTCATGCAGGTCCTTTACATGCCAGTGCTTTGCCTCTCTGCCAGTCTCACTACAAGGACTCAGTTCTGTTTTGCTAATACAACAGTGCTAATAGGCATTAGCTCAATGCAGGAAGGAGGAGTGTTGAGCCTGAGGGGAAATGTCATCTGTGACAGAGTAAAATTTATTCAGTCCCCCAATTGTCTTCTGGACACAGATGTTGGTTCACAGGCCCTCTTTACTGACCAGTTTGTTACTGAAAGCCTTGTTTCCTATGTTACCTCAGCTGACTTAAGTCTAAATTAAGCCTTTGAGCATTTTATTCTAACTCTATCAGTACCATCAGCAAATGCTATCATAGTCCATGGTCAGCCTGGACTGCCCAATAGGAGTCTGCTCATATTGGTATCCATCCCCCTGGATTGCTGTAGTGTTAAAGTGTGGATGATCCAGGCTTTCCCCTCAAGAAAGCTCATTAATCATAAAGACAGAAATTTTTGAGCCCTATTCTTCCTTTGGGAGATTTTTCCCTCACATCAGTTGGCTGAAATGAATAGTAGCCAGATAATGCTTTGCTTTACCAGTTAGCAAAGCTGGTGGCAAAGGTCCTGGTGAAAAGGTTTAGAGGAGTGGGAAACACTTCACTGTGAAGAGAATTAGCCTGAGAGCTTGCGGTGAGAAGAGGTGGCTTTGGAGAATGACAGTGGAGGAAAAAATGCCATCTGTTTAAACAAAGAAATCAATATTCCCTGGACTTGTAAGTCCTGGCTAAGGACATTCCCAGTGTCTTTTTCTCCCCCTGCATGAGTATACCACCAGCCCCATTGATTTTGTGCTTATATCAGGAGAATGATCTATACCTCTTTTGGAGAGACGCTGACTCTCTGGAGAGAACCACTGAGATTTCATGGTGACATGTATCACAATTGCTATAAAATCACAATTTATCTGCTGAATTCCCATTGACTGAGATAACACCTTGCCAGGAAAGTGAATCTGCTATGATTTTCTACAGTAGCACACCTGACATTTATGTACGCTTGCCTCTTGCTTATCTACCTTGTGAATATCTCCAGGTCAGAATGTAAAGGTGCATGATATTTACAAATCACAGCTTTTCCACTATTTACTTTGTCGATGTTGACAAGGACTGAGTCCCAGAAGGTATGAAGTGTCTTTGTTCTAAGTTTTCACATATTTTTGTTAAAGCACAAGTATAGGTGCTCTCAGGACCAGAGATGATGTTGACCTATTAAACATGCCCATGAAAATCTGGTATGTTCACAAAAACTATACTGTTATCTCAGTTCTCATTTGAGCCATCCCTCTTTTCCTGTTGATGTTTCTGTTAGCAAATACTGTTTGGAGTCGAACTCAACTCAAGTTCACATGTCCTCCAGTCCTCAATGAATTATTGAGCTTTTGAACACTTAGTTGGTGGATAGAATCCTAAGGAAAGAAGAAAGCAGAAAAGGAAGGAAAAAGAAATCAAAAAACTTCTATAGAAATAGAATTCATTAAATTTGTTACTTTTGTCTGTGTTACAACTGTGGAATATGTACTTATAGAAGGGGTTTTTGTTTTGTTTTAGCTTTATGAGGAAAAGCTAGAAACAGCACTTAAAGTCACAGTTGATAGTCTATAAGTTATTTTTATGGCTGGCTTTACTGCTTGTTTACATGACAGATCTCACAGAAATACCAGGCACTTAAACATCAACCGACTACTGGTATTCGGTGAACCTCATTAATTTTAATTGTATTTATTTTTATGCCTATTATAGTAACATTTTCCAGCTGAAATTAATATTGCTTAGATTGGTTTCTCCATCTAAAAGTGAGTTATCTAAACTCTATCCATAAACAATACAGACAGGTAACTTGAGAAAGCAAGTCATGTAGCCTATCCTAAATGCTCTTGTGAGAAAGGGATGAATCACTCCCCAGTTTCTCTACTGACCACAGGAAGGGTCTTGTTTAAAGTGTTTGCCTTTTTTATGCCTACAGTTAGCAAAGGAAGTTATGCCCACTGTAACAAAATAGATCTTATCATCTATGTAAGTAAGGTGTAAAGAGAGAAGGGAGGAGAGTAGCAGAGGTGGAATCTCTTGCCCAGGGATCCAGCAGATCGGTGATAAAGCAAATAAAATAACTAGTCTTCAGCTTCCAGGCCAATATTTTACTGCAAGCCTTCCCTTCACCTTTATAGTTGGTGTGAGCTCTGCTATGGGAATCAGTGGGAGCAGGATGACTTCCTGGATGGCCACCTGTAATGACTTAAAATTGGTAGGTTTATGTTTATCTGTTCAGAAATCACTGCTACACTTCACCTATTTTTCAAACAATGTCCCATAACTTTGTGTTATTGACTACCTAGGGAGCAGTATAAACCAGAGGAAAGTCCCATTAGAACCTCACTAATGAAACTTCTTTTGCATTGCAGTTGACCTGGACAGACTGAATGATGATGTGAAACGTTACAGCTGCACCCCGAGAAACTACTCTGTCAATTTAAGGGAGGAACTGAAGCTGACAAATGTAGTTTTCTTCCCCCGCTGCCTCCTTGTCCAGCGCTGTGGAGGAAACTGTGGCTGTGGGACTCCGAACTGGAAATCTTGCATGTGCATGTCAGGGAAAACAGTGAAAAAATATCATGAGGTATTTTCATTCTTTCTTTGTTACTTCTTTTGGGTATTTATTGCTTCCATGGATTCTGAAGTCTTCTCTTCGAGCCATGTGTGCTGCTTGTTAGTTGACTATCATGTTAATATTGATCCATGCTATATTATATTTTATTTATCATTATGCTATATCATGTTATATTAACATGCTTATATTGATTATCATGTTGTATCTACAGCGCAAAAATCAATGGGCAAAAATCACTGACACAGCAAAGGGTCATAGGCGAAGATGCCATCATATCAAAGACACCAGAGTATTTGAGTGAATGCCTTCTGTGGTTACCGCTCTTCCTGAGATGAAGGATCTGCTTAGGCTTCCAGACAGGTTCAGGTAGTCTTAAAGTGGAAAATAGACATAGATAACAGCATCTCTATTGCTGTCCATGCAAGATACCAACTTGGTACCTCATGGAGCAGCATTTGTACCTTCCAGGGCAGTAAGGCATGGAGAGAGAGAGACACACACACACACACACGAGTCAATGTTCAGGAAGGCCCGATTTTAAATGTTTAATATTGATGTCTTTAATGCCACAGCATCACCTAGTGATATGCATTTGAAAGTGGTGAATGAACAGAGTGGAAGGAGGTTATGTATGTGTGAGAAAGGGGTATTAGCAGGTGTTTATGGGTAAGTTAATTTAGAAGCAGTTAGAGAGTACTTTTGCTACCTCTGAGTGGATGCTCCCACAGCATCCTAGTGAATTTTGTTGCAAGAATGAAGCTAATATCGGACTGGTTTTTCCCATCAAAGGACTGATTCAAAGTGAACGTATATACCTCTGGAAATACTCTTTTTAGTAACGCAGAGATACGTGTTCCTTAAGACATTTGACTGCACTTCCTCTTGCTTTAAACTTATGCACACATTTGGAAATTACAACTAAGCCTTGCAAACTCTCTTCCCTTCCAGATTTATTACCTGTAGGAAGCAGCTGAATCATTCAGCCTTAGCTTTTTTCCAACTCATCAATATTTTTAGGAAGGCAAAATTTTTGCATAGGAACAATGTCCATTTATGTTTATTTTTAATCTGTTCAGAACACATTTAGAGAGGGAAAACACAAGGAAAGAGCATTTTATATTCTTGTCTCTAAATTGATATTTTCAGATCAAAACGTGAACAATGTTCACTCCAGTGAATGTATCTAGGAAAGTTACTTGGTAGCAGACTTTCCACTGTCTGAACACAGGGAAGCTGCGTGCCATGCTGACTTAATTTCTGACACATATTTCTTGTTAAGAGCCTGATTTCTTGGCTTAAGTCCCAAGTGAAAATAAACTTTATGGACTTCAAACCTGGATGTGATGTGGACTCATAACATTAAGGTATTATCTTGAGAGACCCAGGGCTGCAATAGCAAAAGGTCATTGAAGGTCCAACCTTTGCCGCACTGTGAGCAATGTGGTTACTCTTTTCCAAGGTAAGAGGTATTTTCTCACAATTAACTGTGACATACAGCATATTCCACACCAGCTAGGACTAGAGAACAGTTAATATTTTCTTTAATTTTAAGCAAGATACAGGGGATGACCCTGGTAATTACAGAGCAGAAAGCCTTATCTCAATGGTAGAAAAGTTAATTGGAAAAAAAATTAATAGGTTTAAGACACCTTGATGACTATGAGCTGATAAAATGAGCTCGGAATGCCTTAAATATGAATAAATATTTATAGAGCACTACAACAAGAATGCTAAAAGGCCTGGAAACTCCTTCAGTGAGCGAACAACCAGACACGATCAGACATGGATTAGAAACTGGTTAAAAGATAAAGAGCAAAGCGGTGGAAGAGATGAGCAATTTTCTAAATAGGAAATGGCTATCTGAGGTGCCCCCAGCACAAAGACTAAGTGTTATTTCATGTATGATCAATCTGAATGGAGGTAAACAGAGAGGTGGCAAAAATGACAGCTAGCACAGGAGATAACACTGTAACAGCAGAGAAAGCTGTGAGGAATTTCAGAAGGCCTGTGTAACTACTTGTAAATGCTGGTTATAAAGGCAGCAAGCATTAGGACGAATGGTCTAAACTATCTCTTCATATAACACTGGGTGTCTGAAGGGAGTAGGAAGAAATGAGGGGTAGAAGTTATGCTAAAAGTTGAGTAGTGAGTCACTGTGAAGACCTTCAGGAAAACCGCTGTTTAGTGCAGTGATAGGAAAAAGACAAGTGGCAGTCCTCTGCAGGAATGGAGATGAAGGGGTAATAACACAGCAAATATTGTGACCTGGATAAATTGGTGGGGTACTTATACTGGGTTTTGACCATTGGTGCATATAATGGTACAGACAGGACAAGAAAAGTTATATAGAAGCAGTAAACATTCATCAAGAGAGATATAGGGGAAGATACAGATCAAAGACATTTGTAAGGAAAATGGTTCAAAAGTTTTGGATAATATAATTTAGAAACATAACTCAGAATAAGAGAGGACACAGTGAAAGATGGAAAACAGTAAATACTAGCTAAAGGAAAATCAGATCTTAAGAAAAAAACGAGAGATGGAAAGGAAACTAACTTGAAATGGAAAAAAGACATGGTATTTTTTTCACAGTAAATCTTTATGGAATTTCAATACTTAAATATGAGCTGTGCATAATTCAGAAGGGTTCTGAAAGAACTAGAAGTAAAATATAAACTAAGGAATCCTGGGCTACACCTGTATCAGAATTTAAGCCACCTGTTGACAGCAGCTAGAAGAAAAATGCTAATTAAAAACATCTTATCAAACACTTGTTATAAGGTGTTTGGAAGCTGCTGGTGCTGGGACACCAGAATATCACACTAGCCAGGTATTGCTCAGAACCAGGATGTTATGACTTATGACCGCACCAAACTAATCACTAAATTCAGGAAATTTAACATTCACACTAATACATCACTGCTAATTTATTTCCCTACTCCTTTTTTTCTCTGAAAACTGTATGAATTCGAGACAGTGTTTCATCTTTAACATTAAATGGCCTTTGTAAGTTTAAATTTAAACTTTATCCCTTAGGGATGAATTAGCAGCTCACTGAGCAGAAATTTAGCCAAGTGTCTCCCATTAATGCGAGTGGAAGTCATGCAGATAAATTCATGTATCACATACTAAAGCTGTGTCCGTTAATTTTAGGCCAAAATGTTTTCCACTCTATTATTATTATTAGGCATGCATAGTTAATCAGTTTTATTCTTATTATCCTTTGACACTTAACTCTAATTTTACTAAATATCTGGCAGTAAAGGCACTGAGGAGAGGCCTCTCAGCATATCAGTTTTAGAACCATGGAAGCAGTTTACTCTCTTAAAAGCCAATCTGAAACCTATTAACCTTAACCAAAGAGCCTTTAGTTGCATAATGAGGGACAGAGCTTCACACTTTATGAAATTCCTAGCACTGTTAATTTGGTTAAAAACCTCTGCCTACTGCTGCAGGAGAACAATGGCCAGAAGACACCAGAAAGAAGTATTAGGTAGTGGAGCAAAGCAGGTGTTTGTAGTAGCTGAAACTGAGTCCTGCAGATCCCAGATCCCTTCTCTTGCCAGGCTGATTTTCCCTAACCACTATTCTGGGGCTCCATCTACTGAGCTCCTGAACCCATAAGAGGTGTTTGTCCTGCACATGAATATGCTTGTCCTCAAAAGTAAAAATGTGTCTGGAGATCACTTAAAAGTTGAGCGGAATTTCTGAGCTACCCAGTATTTCTGGGTGAGAAAGATAGGCAGGCAAATTTTCCAGAAGGGATGGGCTCCTTTTTGGCTGTGTAGCCAGTATTGCATGCTGCCAGCTGTGAGGACGCTTAAGTCCAGTGTTTGTTGACAGGTAGGCTTCTAGTGCAGAGAGATTCCAAAGTTATATTCTCCTTATGCTTTTAATGTTTTTTAGTTCCCCCTTAGTTCCTGCTCAAAGTCTCACACTGTACTCATCACACTCCCAGCCTAGCCTCTCAGGACTAATAGCTATCACATGTAGCCTTCGATTTCCCCAAGCTAAGAGTGCTGCTCCTGTTCCCTGGATGGAACGTGCAGAACTCTTCTATCATGTCCAATTGTAAGAAGTGATGCAACAGCAGGGAAAATGGAACATGAGAATGCCGCAGTAAGGGGTAGCGCTTTTTTATTGCCCTGGGAAATGTTAATCATGAGATCTTAAGTCTTTTTTATAGCGTGGAAGTTTGCCATGACTTTACCAAAATACTCTTGTTTCCAGAAATAAAGAGGTTCATAACGTGGGTAAACAGATAGTTTTATAGGTGGGGGCTTTTGGGGCTTGTTTTGTTTTGTTTTGTTTTGCAGGAGTCTTGGCATGCTCTGTGGTTTTCCATGGCTTCTGGGTTTGCTTGAGACCAGAGAAAATACTCTGGGTGAAGACTCGTGACTTACCACACAATGTCACAGACCGTTCAAACCAAACAAGCCAAGTCCTGGCAGTGTCTGAAAATGTCTCCCGGGCACAGTCTACCATAAGTGATATTGAATTATGTTGTAGGGTTTCCTGCAAGGGAAAGATTAAAGCAACACAGGGAAATGGATGCAGCACACCTTAATCAAATGCTCAGGTCTACTACTGTCTTAACTTTCTAAAGGAGACTTGAAAAGAAAGCATGTTTTTCATTGCAGCACATTTCTTTGGAAGTGCCTGGAGCTGCTCTTCAAAGAGAGGTGTGCTCTAAACCTGAAGATCGCTCAGCCCAGAGGAGGTGTGGGGGAACTCAGGCCAGAACTCAGTTCAGCTGCAGCTACAGCTGTCTTATCCAGCCATCATGCAGTATACCTCAGAGAAACAAGAAATCGGTTTCCCCATCTCATTGCTGTAACTGATGAGATGTGAAATGAGTTTCCGTAGGGAATAAGTGCTCTTAAGGTAGCAACCAGAATTTGTCAGAGTGCATAAACCTCTACAAACACAGTGCTGAGCAACACAGCTAAAAAGCATATAAGGAAAAAAGCAAAGTAGTGAAAGCTGATTGCATCTTTTATCTACTTATT